CGAGAGCACCTGGCACTGACAGGGCTGGCACTGCACGAGCTTTCGGGCTTGTGATGGTCTCAATTCTGGAATTCTTATAATGCTGTTTCTAGTTTTTTATAACACAGGTGTTCTCTGGCATCATTTTTGCATCTTTTGACCCCCTTTTTTGGGTGTTTCCAGAAAGTCAAGATTTAAATACTGGCTTCATGTTTTAGGCTGAAAAAACTAATTTTTCTTTGAAGGGCTCAGACTTTTTAAAAAAGGGGAGCCTGTTGGGCATGTTGAGTCAAGGGCTAAAAATGTGAGGGCAGTCAAAATAACAAATCATTCTGAAAACCTGTTCAAGAGTATGTAAAATGGTGAACATTAGTCTTTATAATTCTAAAATAATATTTTCTATAATTTGCTGAGTGGTACAGATTTAAAGAAAAACCTTGCATTTTGGTAAGACAGCCTTTATGTACAGTAGAGTTGTAGAAGTCAAAGTCTGTGATGTCAGTAAATGTGGTTTTATTTTCACATATTTCATACAGTATCAAGTGACTGCTTGGGTAGGAAGATGCATTGCTTGTGTGTGTCCATTTAGCAGTCAGGCTGAAGAATAATGAATTAAAGTGACTGACACCATGACAACCGTGAGACAGAGAAGGGTTGGAAAAGGCACAGAAGCAGCTGAAGATCAGCCTTCAGAGGAGACAAGTGTAAAGCCTGATGGGAAAATTCTGCCTGGTGGGTAATGAAAAACAAAGTGACATTATGGCTTTTTAGTGGTGTTTTGGTTTTGATCTGTCCTAAGCACAGCTCAGAGCTAGGCATGTGCAAATGCATTTCCATACTTGAATATCACCAGAATTAATTGCATGAGACAGAGGGTTTCATGCAGATTGCTGCATGTCAATCTTATATCTGTTTTAAATCTTAATTTAAATTGGTGAGAACAATTGTTTCAATATATTATTGGTGACACACCATCAGCTTGTATGTAGCCATCCAAAGTTCTTCAAAGAATCCCAGTCCAAATCATTGGTAACATAAAAGGATTTGAAGACAACTGATGAAATGTACTTATAAATAAGCAGGTTGCATATAAAATTTGAATTTAACTGGTTAGGTAAATTTTTGTATGGAATTAGAGCTTTAGAGCTGACAAAGTTCCTTGTTTTTTTGGGGACATTTTTAGATTAATTTATTTTAAGGGATATTTTGATCTAAATTCTAAATGTTTCTCTGCATTTGGGCAGATGAAAGGAAAGTTCTGTTGTTGTTTCTGCACAAACTCACTTAGGCTCTGTACAAAAAGAATAAGAGCTCATAGCTCTCCTGCAGCCCAGCCCTCAGTTCCAGGGACTTGCAGTTGGAATCCTTAAGCAGATGTCACACACAGTTTGAAATAGCCAAATATACAATTCCAGATCTCAAATCCATATTAAACCTTACATTAACACTGAAAATACAAAAGCCCCAGGAATGTCAGTGCACAGGGAGGCCAGAACACATCCTTTCTTTGCCATCACCCCATCCCTGCCCTTGCTCCAGGAGCCCATCTGCAATTCAGAGCATGGCACCATCATCAAAGGCTGCTTTGGCTGCCCTTCACTCTCTTTGTGGGTATTTACTGAGGCCTCTGAACCTTCACTGTTGTTTTTTACAAAAACTGAGCAACTCCCCCCAAAAAGGCAGCTATTTTTAGACCTTTCTTGTGAATTTCTTGCTTTGTCATCAGTCATGCTGTATTGCTTGAATTTAAAAAGTTCTGGAAGATATTTCAATTCAGATTTACAAATTAGTTATGGCATGGAGCTAAACTTGTATAGGATCATGGTGTTCTTAAATTTAAAGTATACCAATTAAGGCACACTTTATTTCACTTTGTATGTAAATAAAATACTCTGATTTTCTCATATGGGAAAATAAAAACAAAAGATGTGTTAAAACCAGGTGTTCTGTAACCTGCAGAATGTAAACTGTGCTAGCATAGGCAATGGATGTTTCACACTTACAGTCTGAAATATTTTTCTTCCAAGATCCTCCAGGTGGAAAGCTCTGGAACATACTCTCAATAACTGTTGGTGGAATTGTTGCCATCTCTCTTGGACTTCTTACTTCTGTTTATGTAGCTACACTGCATGAAAATGACCTGTGGTTTTCCAATATCAAGGTAACAATCATTTTCCTAGTTTCATCCTAGCATTAATATGAGCATTATGAAATTTCATTTTTTTGAGTACTTGTCTTGCAACCTGCTCAAGACCAGAATATTTCATTTTTAAAAATTCCATTTAAAAAAAGCTGTACTTCCCTTCCCACCATACTTCATCAGTTCTATAAATACCTGTCCCCAATTTTTTCTCTAAAAATACTGCTAGAGAGCTCCTGTTTGAGTTGTAGCTATGGTTCTTCCAAAAATTTATCTTTATCTACAATAGAATTTCAACATTTTGCTATATCTTTTTCTATAATCATCTTACTTTTATCCAAAGCAATCTAAAATTAAAATAAAAACCAACAGTTAAAAGTATGCAAAATCTCAGCACACAGTTCCTGAATTGTATTTCCACTGTTGTAATATTATTTTGTAATACAGTTTAGAGACAAAAGTAATGTTATATAATGTCATTCTGAATGTGCAAACCTCAACACATCTTTCTGCCATTCACTAATGTCAACCCCATCATTCCCAAGACCCAGGACTGACTAGTTCTTTCATAGAATCACTGCAGAGAAAATAATGCAGCTGTACCCACAGCTAAATTTAACCAGAGAAAAGAACAGGTGAGTCATTTCCCTTTCAAATGCCTCAAATCCATTCTGCTAGGTCTGTGTAGTGTATTGTTCAAAGAGTACATTTATTTAACTGGAATACTTGCCTTGCAGTATGTCTTTTCTATGCTACACTTTTTGTTACCCAGAAACATTTATATTCCCCTAATGCAAATAATTTGCATTTCCTGCAACAATTGCTGTTGTATTATACCTATAAACACTGTGCTGTGCCCACCCTTATCTTCCCTTGATTATATAGAGAGGTTGTGCTCAATTTATAGAAGGTACACCTTGGGTTTGCCTTTTCCTTCCAAAAGCAAGTAGTGAATAATTTCAAGGTGTTGAATATTTCCAAGTACAAGCAGTCATGGGCTTGTGGCAATGTATGAACAGAATGGATGCATCTTTTTTATTCTGTCAGACTGACCCAGAGAAGCACAGAGTTGACTGAAATAAGCAGCTCTGTAGTTATAATTAAGTTGTTCCCTCAATGTGTGAAACAGTTGTTTTATTTGATAATTACTGTTTTCATTTTAAGTACACTAAAATGCCACTAGATATCAGAACTGAAATAAACCCCTCTAGTTTTTTGGAGTCTGGATTCTGTTGTCTTTGTAGCTGTTCTTTCACCCCATGGAGGTGATGGATAGCTGCAACACTGCAACAAGAGCAATTTCAGCCAGTTTGATGGAAAGATTCTAAAAGCATCAAGTTCATCTGGCAGCAGGGAAAAGGAGAAAGAGCTGCAGACACTCCCTGGTCTCACAGTGCCCCTTCTTCAGAGGGATGTGATCTCCACCAGAGCATGCATGTGGGGATTGCACAGTGCTCACTTCAAACAAAATTCTGCTTTAGAAGTGGCAGGGGAAGAGAAAAGTGCATATGAAGAGTCTGAACTTTGCTGCAAAGCTGAGGCAGGAAGGCTCATCCCAATATCTGTAAAACAATCCACAGCTGTCTCTGTGCCTGTGTAGGAGTGTGGTCTCTCCAGGGATGTATCCATGTTTTCCAGCACTTCTCAACTGGCTAATCTTTTCATTACAGCACATACTTTATACTAAGAAAGATAAGACCCTCAAAAATCACATGGAAAATCAGTGGAAAAGGTGCTTTCTTCTCTAACATCTTATAGTTTGCCCAAAGCATCTACTTTTTCAGGTATCAACTTTCCAAAAGTTTGAAAAGTGTAAATTTTATTTTAGTCCATACCCCTGCCCGGATTCTCAGAAGGGAGAGCTGCAGTCTAATCCTTGCCCCACAATTATTGCCAGCCTTGATTAGTGAAATACAGGGGTGATCTCATTGCATTATGTTTTCTTAAACATAACATAGAATAAATGGATGCATTACAAGTGCACATCCTGTGTTTTATTAATCCCCATGCTTGTGAAATACAGTAGAGCAACATCACTGCTCTGCAACATACAAAAGAAAAATGCTAAATCAGTTTTATTTCCATGTATTTTAAATTGCTATCTTCAGTCACCCTGAATTGGCAAATTTGAGGATTTATGTTGTTGAAATCTGATACAAAAATTATGTAACATTTATTATTCCCCTGAACTTTGTTCCTTTCATCCAATAAGCTACAATCAGTCAGATGATAAGAATTCATGCCCAAAAGGATCTGTGTAGCAACTTAATTATTACAGAGATGTAATGGGAGACCTGTTCTGTCATCTTTCCTTGTATTTGAAGATCTGCAGTGTTTTCCTGACACTTCTGCACCAGGCAGATGTTTGTACCAACACCTTTTAGGTGCAAAAGGTGAAATTTTGGTTCTGAAGACCCCACTGATACATGAACACCACAACTGCATGTTTAAAAAGTAGGCAGTTGTATTCAACTCTAGAAATGGAAAGTAAAAAGAGTTTATTATGCAAAGTCATGATTCCTAACTCCTAAATAATTGGAGTCAGGACTTGCACACACACTTGCAGTGATTGCCTTTCTGTAATTTCAGTTGCAAATCATCAAAAGCCAGTTCAGATTTGGGTGTCTTCCAGCAATGGTTCACCGAAGTAGAAAAACTGTCTGGTCCTTGTTCAACTGTTGTGCTGTATTTTGAATATTGCTTTCAACAGTGCATTGATTTCAGCTGCTGCTCTGTGTGTGAGCCTTGTTCTTGTTTGCTGCTAAATGTGCCTGCTATTACCCATTAGCCATGGTCACAGGAGAAAGATGTGCCATTGTTTTCTTACCAGAAAACTGAAAAAGCACATCCTGAAGAGTGGTTTATGCAGTGTATTTCTTTATGAAATACATAAAGTGTATTATTAATACATAAAGTGGTTTATGCAGTGTATTTCTTTATGAAAGAAATACAGAGTTGTTCCTTTTTTTTTTTAATTTCAAGACTTCCTGAAAGAATGACCAAAATAAAAGAAACAGAAAAGATTCAGCATATCATGATACCTAGTCAGGAGCTGTGTTTGTGTCCCCTTCCAGCAGGGATCACAGGTTAGAATCACTTAAATTGATCAACTAATTTTTGAGAAAAAAATTTTGAATCTCTTCTCATATACATTAAACCAACAAACATTTCTGTTTGTGATGGTGGAAGTCAAAACAGATTTCTTATCCAACAATCCTTTCTCAGTTTTCTGTAAATGTTCTGGCATAACACATCTGAAATGGCTTGTCTATTTTCAGTGATTTTCAGTAGCAGTTTAGTGGCTGCCCCTCCAGTGTAGCATCTTCTGGGAACAGAATCTGCTATGCAAATAGCAAAATGAGGGGCCATTTCTCCTGTCAGCCATTGCTTGTTCAACTGCAGATTCTGAAGACACTTTGAACAGGAATAAGCCAAGGCCATGTAGCAAATTAATACTGTAAGAAAAACAGATAAACTTCAGAGCATTCATTTCTTCTTCATCCCTTCTGAGTAAGAGTTTAGATACTGATATTGATTTTTGCTTTAATAAAATTTCTGCTTGCAGGAAGTCAGGAATGAAAATATAACATTGTAAGTCTTTCAGGATAGGAATGCCAGGATTTAGTCTGTGAAGTGCTCATATTTTCCCTTTCTACATTTTGAATGCAAACCAAAGATCATTGCCCAGAGAAGCTGTGGCTGCCCCTGGATCCCTGGCAATGTCCAGGTTGGACATGGGGGCTTGGAGCAGCCTGGGATGGGGCAGGGGGTGGCACTGAAGGGCTTTCAGGTCCCTTCCAGCCCCAAACAAAATGATTGCATGAAGAAGAGCAGGGAAACAGGGGATGAGAACTGCACAGAGGGAATGCTCAGGCATGAAGGGAAGGAGGGCATGCAGTTCTTTTGGGCAGCTCTTTTGCACAGAGGTGCCTGTCGAGGTGCCAGGGGTGCTTTTACTCTGGGTCAGATCTGATCTGGAGCACACCACTCCAACAGATGGGCTTTAGGTTACCATCCAGGAGGGCTTTCAAAGGATTAAATACATTTGCTGAAGGCTTGTACTCAACTGGGAACATTGACAGCAGCTGTGTCTTGAGAAAATGTTCAAATCTCCCCGGTCTTAAATTGAAAAACTAATAAATAGTTTCAGTTACACAAGTTTTGTTTTAGCAATCTCAAAAAAAGAAAAGTAATCTGAGCTTTATTTATACTCATTATTTATAGAAAGACTCAACTGAGACTTTGGCTGCTTGCTCAGCATTCTGAAGGACTTGTTTAAGGAGTTTGAGAAATCATAAGCTCTAAAATTTTGCACTGCCCTTGAGAGAAAGTCCTTTGTATTTGGTTGTGAATGCTTAATATTATGAGGATGCAATTGCATAAATTGAAATAATAAGCAGCTCTCTGTGTGTCCCAGAGGAATGTGTTCTTTATTTTTCCCTTAGAACAGTGATAACTTCTTTGTTACCACCTCACAAAGTGAAGATACAGACAGATAAGCATGTGCTCTCACAGTGTTTACCCATAAGTCTGTATGTTTTTATTGACATGGAAGGCTGGGAAAAGTATAAATTGCTGTAGAACTGAAAAAGTATTTTCAGTGAATCAAACAGATGTTATCTTAGCATGAAACAGATGTAAAACTCACTAGAGTTTGTCTCATAAAGTATAGCATTTGGTTGAATACAGCTGGTGCCAGGATTACAAATTAATCATGTTTGAATGCATTTTTGCTAATTAGATCCCCCTCTGTGACTCCTTTCTCCCCCTTAATAAATTCCAAATGTTAGCATTCCCTTTTTTTTTGCCTTTATGAGCATTTAAGAGTCAGCCACTTTTTGGTATTAGAAAACTTTCCAGTAGTGATGAACTTGAAACTAGAGCTTGTTTAAAATCCAGCACTCTCAATTTGCTAAGTGTGTGGCTTTTGGTGTGATGATGATTTATATGTCACAGGGCAGCTGGAGAGTTTAATTGAGAACTTAGATTAAATCACTTGTGGTTTTATCTATTGACTTTTCTCAGACCAGAACTAATATATTGCTTTGTCAACAACTGACTTCAATAAAACACATGCTTTGAGAGAAGGACCTGCATTGGGCAGCAGAGGAGAGAAGAACATGATTTTTTTTGTCAAGCTTTATATTAACTCTGAAATAGAATTGATTCTGCTCCAGCATAAGAGTTGGGAGTGCATAAGAGTTGCATGAGAAAGTTGAAAGTCTTGGGGATCTGTGCAAGGTTGCATTAACAAGATTGGCGTTCATAAAAGTCTCTGGAAAAGTAATATTCTGTAATGTCAGTAACATTCTTTTGTACAGAAAGATGAATTCATAAAGTTATTTTTATAAATCAGACAAGTTTTTTAGTGATTTGCATATACCACATACAGGGATTTCACTGGATTTTCAAACCTCAGTTTAAACTTTTTCTAACTGGATGCAGACCTTTTCTAACTTATTGCTTAGGAGATACATTTGCTGGGATGTTATTATACAAACTACTAAAAAGATCACTAATAATAGTACAATTCTGTATCAGACAATTGTTACTTCTCATCAGATTGGTTGTTCATGCCATCTTTGTTTTAATGTGGTTGCCCAAAGCTGTGGATTTGTTAAATTTCATCAGGTCTTCACAACAAATGAGGTAACAAAAGGAAATGCATTCCACAGCAAAGAGCTTTCAGATCTTACTAGACCCCATCTGCTGCAATATTGGCTAAGAAAAAGGCATAGTTTGAAATGTACCTGCATTGAAGTGTACCTAGTTTAAACGATTGGAACATTTTTAATTAGAAACAAGAAGTTCATCTAGCCCTAAAGCCAAGTAGAGAGTCCCTTTTCCTTTCAGCTGTAGGTTGGGAATGAGTGATGGCAGCTGGCTTCCTGCAAGAAGCAGTGTTGAACAAACAGGTGGGCAGCAGCATCCCCTGCCAGCTGAGCTGTCCCTGCCACCATGGTGCAGCCCCCTCAGAGCACTGAATTAACTGAGCCTTGAGCTGGCAAAGCCGTGGAGCACAGTGGGATAACTGCGTCTGGGAGAAAAGGTTAAATGCTCAAAGCAGGGATGTGCAGCTTTACAGCCCAGCTGTGGGCCACTGGGCCAATCTGAGTTTGTCATATTGCAAAAAAATAGTGAAATGCCCACAGTATTTCCAAGCAGCAGATCAGAATCACAAAGAGCTTGTACATTTCCCTAGTTAAAAGAGTCATTTACACCGTAGCTTGTACATTTCCCCAGTTGAAAGAGTCATTTACACCCCAGCTGTTTGCCTCTCACCCTAATTTGTCCCTGCATGTTCACCTTTGGTTGAACCGAGTTGCTTAGGATGTGAAACCCAAGGACTGAAGCCTCTCTGGAGGTCAGTTTCTCTGGTCTGCAGGAATTGGAGTTGAAGGCAGCTTTGGATGATGGTGAAAAGCAAATGGAAAATGAATTTCCTGTTGAACTTCACTTGCAGGAGGTCGAAAGAGAGATTTCATTCAGAACCGAGTGTGGACTTTATTATTCCTACTACAAACAGATGATTCAGGCTGCATCCATTCAGCAAGGTATTGTAAACTGTAAAGTAAGTTTTGCAGCTGACTGTTTGTAGGTTTGGTTGGGGTTTTTTTTCCAAATATAATTGAGAACAAGGCACACCATAACTATGAAAGATAGTGTAACAATTGTACTGGAGACAGATTTATTCTGTTCCTATGCCAGGGAGCCACTAAGTTATTGACATAATAAATTTCACAATGATGCATTGATTTCTGTGCCACACCTTCACATGCTGATGAAGGCAATCACTTTGAGGGACAGCTCTCATATCTGCTCAGGTTTCAGCTTGCTGGTTTATTCAGTTTTATACAGTTTATTACTTTCATTTTTATTCTTCTCTTGTTTAATTTGAGGTATGAGCTATTTCTGGGAAGGGGCAATGTTTTTTGCTGTATTCCTGGACAGTAAGTGACACAAGGAGCAGCTTCCAAGGAAATCATACACAGTGATGGGGCTTTCTCAGACAGTCTCATGTTTTCTAGACATTTAGCTGTTGCTCCTTAGCAATTTTGCTTATACTACACATTTTTCAATAATGACTTCACCTGTGATTAAAGTAGTGCCAAGAACAGTTCTGAGGATCCAGAATGTACCACAGATTCTATGCTGGGGATGGAAGTGTAAAAATAAATGTTTTATACACTACTAAATATACAGTACTTGAATTAGCACTGTGAGTCACATTTGAAGCAGGGAAGCTGAAGACCTCAGAAGGTCATGTTGATTCAGAGGTAATATGTTCTGAATCATTGACTCAAAGTTTGCAGTTTCTGATGAGAGATCCTAAAATACCTTTGAAAAAGTTATTCACTGTTCAAATGAAGATGGAGGGGGAAAATGACAATCTCCTATTTCAATTTCTCTTTATCATTAAGGTTTACATGGTTTAGTATATGACAATAAAACTGAATCTGTGAGGACAATTAACATACTTGAAAGAATGAATGTTTACCAGGAGGTGTTTCTCAGCATTCTGTATAGGATTCTTCCAATTCAGGTAGGCATTTATTTCTGGCTTTAGATTGTAAGTGCATTATGAAGATTGCAGTGAATCCTAGCTCCCCTTTGTAGATATTTTCTAATTAGAAATATTCCTGATACCTTTTTAATTTGTAAAAGCAAAACCTAATTCATACTAAGTATAATCCCCCCCTGTGAGTGTTTTAATGTCAACATCAGTATTCTTGTGTTTTACAGCAATACCTAGAGCCTGTTTATTTTTATATCTACACTTTGTTTGGACTTCAGGCAGTTTATGTCATTGCTCTGTATGTAACAAGCTGGCTTCTTAGTGGAACATGGCTTTCAGGGTTGTTGGCAGCTTGCTGGTATATTACAAACAGGTAAGTGAGATGAAACATTTAATCTTTCTAATATTTTGCCTAGTTTCAAAGGTAAGGCATTAAAGCTTTAACTGCATGATTCATTGGACAAAACATGAAAGTAAAAGGCCTCTCTCCAATTAGCCAGAAAATGGAAAGAATTTTTAAATAACAAAAAATAATTAGAAAACAATCAGAAATGAGCTGACGTATCAGACTGGGTTTTTAAAGGTTCTGAAAGTATGAGTAGAAAACTTTGTCTGAAGGTTGTCTCTGAAAGTGGAGAACATCTTTCAGATGTGTCTGGAGCTCCAGGTGATGTTCCCTGTCTTCTCCAGCCTAGGATGTCTCAGGTGTTAAAGCCATCTGCAGGAAAGCCCTTCAGGTGTCTTCTCAGTGCCCCACACCTGCTTGCAGGGGTTCCTTGCACAGCCTCAGCTCAAGTTCAGTTCTCTCTCCCCTTATTCCTGTAGCCACCTCCTGCACTAAGCCTCAGAGAAAAACCATGCTAATTGGGCTGCTCTAGTGCTTTATCACTTGAAGAGTTACCAGTTTGGAGATAAAACCTAAGAACTGGAGAACTGGCTTTATGCCAGAATCAAGCTGCTGGCACAAAGCTAAGACTGGTGACATTGGCTGTTACCTATAAATTATTCAAGAAATTAAAAGTACAGTCTTGGTTCTACCAGAAGTGTTTGATATGTTAATGAGCAACTCTAAAGGAATTTATCTGCAAGCACATTCGCTACAGAATAATTACAGGTGTATGGAGGCAGGGTGTTTCATTCTCCCAGTATAAAAGGAATTAAAAGCCCCATGCAATGTACAGTATTTCACACATTTCTTTCATGAGGTCATCTCTTCCATTTATAGAATATCTGGAGCAAATTTGTCCATCTTTCTAATAATTGGTGAACAGTGAGAGCTTGTTTACTTTATGCAGTATAATAAGTGCATAGAATGGATTTGGATAAAGACTTTCTGTCCAGATTAATTACATCTGAGGCTGCTGAGTAATTCCATTTAGACACGTTCTTCCTCCAGCTAAGCATGTTTCAGATTTGTTGCTTACTTGCTGCTTTAGCAAATATTTTCTCTACACTGGGAGAAAGAGAATTATTGTTTTAGCACATATTTTTCTCTACACTGGAAGAAAGAGAATTATTCTGTTTTTAACTTTTAAATCAGGTTTTGAAAATGACCATTCCTTGGGGAATTCTTCCCTGACATACTTCATATGTTCAAAAGCTTCAAAAAATGACCCAAAGTTCATAAGCAATTAAAGTGTCTTCATGCTCAAGTCATTGGGATCACAGTGAAAATTATATTCTGTTTATATTCTTGTATGTACATTTGCAAACCAGAAAATGAAGTAACATGACCTGTGGTGTGGAAATCCACAAGCTGGATTTTGTTAGTGCTTTTAGTTTGGGGTGTATTTGTCATTTCTAAATTACCCAAGCTGGGCTTCATAAGTAAGATGTAATCCAGAGTATATTTTTTTTAGTTAGTGAAGCTGAAGTCCATCATTTGACATGTAGAAACAATGGATAACTTGCAGAACCTTCACAGTGATGTATTTTCAGAGCCAGGTGTGTTGAAAGAACTGGAGTGTAGAGCCTCCATTTTTATAAAAAAGGAGTTAAAATAGCACAGAGATGCCTGAAATTGCAAGCTGTCTGTCACCAAGTATTTGTTTGATTTAAAATTTGTGAAACTGTCTGTTTTGTACAGAGTAGATACCACAAGGGTAGAATTCACCATTCCTTTAAGGGAGAACTGGGCACTGCCTTTCTTTGCTGTTCAGATAGCAGCCATCACATACCTGCTCAGAGCTCACTTACAGCCTGCTCAGGAGGTGAGTGTTTCTGACAAGTGTGACACAGTAAACTCAGCAACAGAGAACTGTCCTCAAGCAAAGGGCTGATACAGTTTCTTTGACCAACAGTTCTTAAGTTACCACTCCTCATTTTGATCAACTAACTGCTATTTATACCACAGTAAAACAGGTATTGCATTTTAATCTGGGGGCTGTAACTATCCAAGATCTCCCTGGCATAAGTCAAGAATAACACAGGCACAAGTCAAGAATTTGTAACTCTAATAAAATGTTTGTTATCCTCTAAGCTGTTATTGCAGTTAGAAAATTCAGTGTTTTAAAAGTAGTTTAAAATAAAACCAGATTAAGATGGGCTTTGGTTTGGTTTGTTTGGGTTGGGGTTTTTTTGCTTGATTTTTTTGTGTTTTAACCAAGAAAACTATAAAATAAAACTTTGTTCCCTCCTTGCAGAGGCTCACACTCATGGTTGTATTCATAGCAACGTTTCTCTTTAGCCTGACTTGGCAATTTAACCAGTTCATGATGCTGATACAAGCATTGGCATTGTTCATACTGGACTCCTTGGACATGATTCCCACAGCAAAGGTAAATTTCTCTTTGGAAAGAACCTACTTTTGTTCCTTTGCCCTCACAAAGCCAACAGTTTTAAGGTGTTTTCCTAACCAGTTGCCTGAATGGCCAGAGTAATACAGATTGTGTTGTGTGCTTTGTGCTTTGAAGCAATCACAGAGTATAAACCCTGCAAGTCTAAAAGTGAATGAAGGAAACAACACCATTTCTGGTTTTTGTTCACTTGAACCTAGTTCATGTCTATTTAATTTTTGTCTACTTCTGTTAAGACACTATTTGACACTTCCAAACACCATCCAAATAGCTGATCTGATACCACAGCTTTAGCATGGCCTCTCAAAGTTGCCAGAAGGAAAAAGTACCACAGGGAATCTTTGTGCAAGCTGCAGTCAAAGCAGTGGATGAATTTTGCCTCAAGCATTGTGCATCCTCGTTTGGGACCAAGCTCTGTGCACAGGAGGAGGATGCAGAACACCAGGTTGCTGGGGAGAAGCAATTCTTGTCTTCCTGCATTGACATTCACCACAAAATAACAGCATTGCCCCTGCTGTGTTGCTGAGCTGGATAAGCCAGAAAATAAAACAAGTCTTACTAAGAAGGTCAGGGATCATTGACAGTCAATCTTACAAAACAGAAATGTACTGCAGAAGATGAAAACACTGTCTTTGACGTTAACATAGCTGTGAAATTCTACCAAGATCATTTTAGGCATGGTGAAAGCTTGCACTGGTTGAAAAAGATTCTAACTTTAGGAAAGGTTACAGGAGGATGAAGAGTAATTCATGTAAATTCATTTTCAATTTGAAGCAGACTTGAACTTTACTGATTGTATTAATTTAACTGAAAATTAGTATGGGGCCTGCATATCAAGATAAATGTGGCTTACTTAAGTTTCTTAACTCTATTATATCAGCAGCTGCAAGCTAAAGTCAACATTTAATGTGACTGGGCAGCTGCCTTAAGAGTCAGCAAATTCCCAGCTTCATGCTGAGTTATTCCAACACAGACTCACCACACCACTGTGTCTGTACTCATTTTCAAAAAAGCACTACTTAGAACTGGTGGAGTTTGTTGGGCTCTCTGATACTGATTTACACCACTGCTGTAACACAGGACTGAACTTGGGATCTTTATGTGAGGTAAAATGTCTGTTTTGCTACCACTGTAGAAAATCAGCTGGGCTTTAGTGCTTCCATTGAGCTGAACACTGATAAGAGTTTAGCATAACCCGAAAGGGATTGTACTGAGCCATTACTGGAAGGTTTGAGAAGGTAGGTGATGTTTGTTTGCTGAACTGCACTGAGCCATAACTCTTCAGTCATAAAGACACCACAGAGGCTACAGAAACACTTCTTGGACTACAGAAAATAAAACCATCTTCCAAATATTAAGTAATTAATATTTTCCTCACACTGCAGTTATAATCATCTATAATCAGCAGTTAATCTGCTTGATTATAGGATCAGGCTTCCTTAAGTATAAAATGGGCATAAAATATTAACCTAAGTAGTTCAGGACATAAATATAAAAAGGATGCAGTACTGGCTTTAAAGGTAATGATTCACTGCAAGATGATACATTATTTGCAAAAATAATTGATGTTGAAATAAATTATAAAGCATATTGAGAGAAAAGCACCTATGACTGTAAAGTTTTGTAGGCATAAAAATCTCATTATTGTTACAGGTTACATGGCTCTATATCATTCAGATTTCTGGGTTACTGCTGGTCTGTGTCCTACAGTTCTTCAATTCTATGATTCTTGGATCATTACTTATAAGTTTTAATGTTTCTGTCTTAATAGCAAGGACAATCCAGGTAGGTACCAAAATATTTCTGTAGTACTAAATAAAGAGTATTTTTATAAATGTGTGTGTGTGTGAATGAGTAATTTAGATGCATTATAATTTTCATTTAGTAATATTAATTAAAAGGAATTACTATAGCATACAGCAACCCAAACATTGCCTGATCAAATAATGAATTCCATTACACTAACTGCAGCTTAACCAAGCACATCAGACATCATAATTCCATCATTGCTATTAACATTAATGATTGTGCAAGCTGCAGTTTGGATCCTGAAAAAAAATTGCATAAATGGACTTTACACCTGTTTCAGCAGGACTTGGCTTGAATTTATGGATCTGCCTCCAAAAAATAATCTGTAACAACTTTGGACAACTAGGCTCATGTCAAGTTTAGCTTCCTGAAATCCATTCTTTCTTTCAAAGATTAGGTTTTTTATTGTAGCTACAGTTCTTTTTTTTTTCTGATTCTGGCATTGGTGACAGCCTCTGACCACAATAAAAGAGTTTACAGGGCCATTCCTGTTTTGTGCACCTATTCCCAGTTAACTGTGAGCAGCTTCTCTGGATCTGGAGCTTGTAACTGGAGAATTGCTCAAAATTCAGATAGAGCCAGAAGATCCCTTTGCCATGTTTAGTGGAAGGTGTAATGAGTAGATATTTCAAAAGGCACACAAGATTGTGGGAATTAGGGAATAAGTTCTGTTAGTACAGTAGGGCTGCTGCCAAAGAAAGGCTGTTTGGGTGCTCCCAAAACTCTGCCACATCAAAGCTTTTATGGCATTGTCCCTTCAGTTTTGTGCAAGAAGTTTATCTTCATTCTGGGTACTTGGTTCTGTGTCTATTTTTGCCTAAATGACCCTAATGCAAAGTTGGTGCTGCTCAGGACTAGCAGAGAAGCTGTTGCAAATAGCCTGTGATGCTTTGTTCCAAATACATTAAAATAAAAAAAGGACTGAAATACTAATATTTTCTTCTTTGTAGAAAAACCTAAAAAAGGGTGGCTTGCTTAATAGGCTTGGGAAACTTATCCTCCATGTTGTACTAGTCTTGTGCTTGACTCTCCTAATAAATAAATTCATTAAGGTAGGCAAATAATTTTTAATATCAAAAATTACACATTGTATTATGTTAAAAGCTATTTGTTAACTATCTACATGAACATCATTAAACAAAAACTGCAGTGAGATTTTTCTGCATCTCAGAAACTGCATTTTAGAAATTAAAGATAGTTTTGCTAACCTTTGGTATATGGATTTGAAAACTTCACAAATTAACACCAAATAATTGGTGTTAACTTGGAGCTCACCTGTACTTTATGTCAGTTGTAGATGTATACTGTTCAGCATTTGCAAAGTGTTTCACTAAATTTTCTTTTCAAAGCATGCAGTCAAAACTGAATGATTCTTTGATTGCAAAGCACCCATCTTAGTGCTTTAGTAAGCCTGTGTTGCTTCACAGTTTCATTTAAATGAAAAAAACTGCTGTTTACTCTGTGACATTTTTGATAGTTAAAATATAATTTTCTTTCTCTTCCCCCCTTTGTAGAAAATTCTTAATCTTGAATCAGATGAGCATATATTCAAATTCCTGAAAGCAAAATTTGGATTTGGAGCAACAAGGTATGATTTAGCTGCAGTTTTGCTTTTTTGTTTGACTTCTTTAATTGAAGCCTTCAGGTTGTTCCTCTTTCAAATGTGTGCAATAAATCACAGTTTTACCTCATGTTTATGTCATACTTGCTCTAAGAATAATCTGCACAACTGTGACTTTATAATTTCTTGAGAAGATAGGAAACTTTGATCCTTTTTGACATCAAGCTATGAAATACATGATGGACAAAGGTTTTTTTTGGTTTTTTTTTAGAGATTTTGATGCTAACCTGTATCTTTGTGAAGAAGCCTTTGGTTTATTACCTTTAAATACTTTCTCAAGACTCTCCAGTACCTTACTGTTTTACGTCTATGGATTTGTTCTCTTCCTTCTGACAGTAGCAGCTGTAATTGTTGCCTTTCGGAACCTCAGGTAAATACAGTTTTAAGAAAATTCACATTTTTATCAATTCTATTTTCTTCAGCTGGTGAGGAACTGGCAGGTGAACACAGCAGCAAATACAGGATGGCTTTGCACAGCTACTGAGGAGTGGGGTGTAGGAGAGAGAAATCAGACAGAATAAGTAACTTCCTGCTGAATCTAAAAATGTAACCAAAGGAACATCCTTCCCTAGATTCTCTCAAGCTTTTGCTGCTGAAGTTTTGCAGTATGTATGGTTGGGTTTTTTGGGATGAGGAGAAGCAGTGGAAGGATGTTTTTATCTAAAACATTGTTATTTCTTTAGTTCTTCCCATTTTCTCTGTGCAAAGCACTCCAAATCACAGATTTCCCAGGTGTTACCCTCAAAACAACCCAGATTTCCCTGGATGTTACCTGCCCAGAAATGAGCTGGAATAGTCTGTGCTGAGCTTTGTGGTCTGTGTGAAGGGGCAGGAGCTGTAACTGCAGCACTGCTGGCAGTTCCCAGAGCTAATCTGTGGGATTCTGAGCTATCTACAGAACAAAGAAGAAAATCAGACAGAAATGTTTATCAAAAAAAAAAAAAGAAAAGGTTAATTATGGAGCTCTCAGTTTTACTTGTACAACCTGGGCAAAAGGTAGAAGGGATCATATAAAACCTGATTAAGCAAAAATTCAAGGAGTGTCACGTGATTAGTGTCAGTATCAGAGATTTTAGGGAAGACTGGATAAACAGGAGAGAGAGCAAGAGAAAGGGAGAGTATCCAAGACCTTCCCAAACTATGGTATGACAATTACATATTACAATAGTAATTGTCAAATGTCAGTCATCTGTAAATGCTACCAGAAAAGTGGATTTCTCTGTGGGACTTCACTGCAAAGCTGAAAGAGTTGATGAGAAGCCTGAGGGAATCACAGAATTTTGGTACTATTCAACCAGCCTTTTTAAAAACTTACTGGATCAGTCAATTTCAAAAATAAAGATTCTGCAGCTCTTATTTTCTGCAACCCTAGATGTAATCCCAGACATGTCCCTAATTTTTAATGCTTTTATCTCACTTCTTCCCTGCTCTGAAGAAAACAGGAAAACTCCACAAACTGAAGTAGCTCCTTTTTTTGCTCTTTTTTGGAAGGGCCCTCCACAAGGCCAGACACCTCAAGCAATAACCACATCTTTCAGGGCTCATTTTCCCTAATTCTGCTTCCAAGCTATGGCTTTGGTAACATCCAGACAGACCAGCACAACCTCACAAATCACAGTTCAATTCTAAATTCTTCACTCATCAAAAGCCCTCTGAACATGGGAGTAGCTGCTTCCAACAAGAAACTAACTTTGCCATGCTGTATTTTATCTCATTCTAATCCAGCTCATTTAAACCCATTGCATTTCCAGAAATCTGCACATGAAAAGAAATACCTGATGCTGCATCGAGTTGGTGGCATCAGGCTAAATTAGATCATAGAAGGTTGTGGGCTTATAGCAGTGGTTGTTGTTTGTGGCCTCAGAAAGATTCTGTACTTTTTAAAATGCAGATAATTATATGAAATATGTTATAGAACTTAATATAACACTTTTTTTTCTTCAAGTAGTGGTTCAAATCAAGTCCATTTGAAGGACAAAATGGAAGAATACACAGTGACACTGAAGCCTGAGGCTGCCTACAGCTTGGTTCACACAGTTCTTTTTGGATGTCTGGCATTAAGCACAATGAGGTATATTATTTTTTGATTTTAAGGGCTTGTTCACATGATTGAGTGTATTTTTATAAGAGTGTAAAGTATGTTGACCACAAACTGAAAGGGTCATGAACATTCTTTCTCTCCCTGGTGTATTTCTACTTGTAGACTGAGGCATTTCCCAAAATTCTGCCAGAAAGAATGGAAGTTTGGGAACAGAGATGTTCTCAGGAGAGCACAGCAAAGTGCAGTGTCAGTCCTGTACTCAGTTATTCCAGAGGCAGGAAAGTCCCAGAAAATGTTCATAATTTCTCTAGACACGAACTGCTCTCACAAGCAGCTTTGCAGAGCTCCCAGTGATCATGGAAAGTTTGTGTTCTTCCAGGATGAAGTACCTCTGGACATCCCACATGTGTGTGTTTGCATCCTTTGGCCTGTGCAGTGCAGAGGTTTGGAAACTCATCCTCAAGTGTCTCCATCTCTACACATCCCAGAGGGTGAGCTCTGCACTCAGCCTTTCATCCTCTGGGCTTTGGGCTGAACCAAGCCAAGGCTCAGGGCTGAATATTGCTTGTAGTTCCCTCTAACCAGGTATCTCTGCAGGATCTTTGTATAAATTTAGTGAGTAAAATGGATTTGCTGGTGGTTTCTATATTAAACAATTCCATTGGAACACACTAGATGGCAATATAGATGTGGCTATGAAAAACAGCCATCATTTTACTAAAAAAATCTCCATATTAAGAAATCATCAGCAATCTGAGAAGACCTTTGCAGTCAATTATATTGAGTGACAGTGTTTTCCACCTTGTAGAATATAGATTTAAAGATATAAATCCATCTTTTGGGATGGGTCTGTAATTAGAGTTTTACTTGAAGATAAAATCAGAATATGGGCTTAAAATTCAATCTCTTAAATTCCACTGCATGTTAAATATTTCAGATATCAATACATTAAAAATTAAGTCTATTAAATGTATCATCAAAATAACCAAATTTTTTTTCAATTTCTTACAGACACAGGTGATTAAGTATTCTATACCAATAATTACATTACTGTACATTTCATTTAAGGTAAGAAATTTTCTTCTCAATGTTTTGGTATATTTTAGTTGCATGAATTTTTTCCTTTCTCCTAGAAGGGTTGTCTTATTAGTAACTACATACAAGAATTGTAACTGAATTTTAAAAATGAGGATAGCTGTGCCTATGGAATTGTCTGTGAAGGATCAGTTGGGCTAATTTGATCCAAAGTAGTTGTTCATAGATACAAATGTTTATCTGATTGTATGTGTAAGTAGCAGGTGTTATTTAAAGGCATAATTTTATGGAGAGTTGTCTCTTTTGGTTTTAACTAAGTTGTGGATAAAATGCAGATTGTCACATTGTGCCATGATTTACTGTAGGAGCAGAAATAATAGTAATCTCTACTGCTGTGCCTCATCTCATATGTTTTAAAGTACAGAATTATTAAATGGTCAAGTACCTGCTTTGTCTTCTGTCTGTTCCAGAAACAGAATATTATTATTGTCAAACACTTCAATGTAAATGCATCAAACATACCTAAATCAATAACATGTGCAAGATTATCAGTGTGTCATAGCAGTGAGATTTAGAACACTGATTTAATGGGCAAACCATTCTTTTCATCTGTAGTCACAAAGACAAAAAATTTCAGAGTGCTTTGATGGAGAAGTTGTTTCTGCAATAACTAGTGTGAGATGAAAATACAGCTGTTAAATAATTCCCTTCAGAAAAAGGCAAGATTAATTTCATTGTTGCAGTTCAAAAGGCAGTAGTGAGGCAGTTAAGAAAGCTGCTAATAGAGTTCACTCCAGTATTGTGTTTCCCTCTCTGAAACTGAAACAAAAAGTAAAAAAATTTTCCTGTTTTCCACTTAAATTGTCTTATTGTTCTGCTAGAGGACTCTTTTTGTCCATTCATGTGATGGTTAGGAAGTCATTTGCTATTTTCATCATCTCTGAATATGACAGAAAAAATGTCATTTCTTCTGACATGAGGGATACCAGGAGCATGACATTCTGATAGTCTAATGTGACAGATCACTAGGAATAATTTTCCTCCCACTCTTCATGAGCAGATGTAAAGTTCCTAAATTCTGTCAGATTCAATTCTGAAGTCAACAGAAACCACTGATTTCATGGGCTTTAGAGCAGTCATTAGTTGTGCTCAGTCTGCCTGAAAAGCATCATTTTCGTGTTTCTTCTAATAGAAGAAATAATTTTTATTGACATTAAAAATACTATTTTTCAAATTTCACAGTAGGAATGAGAAATTTGTCACCCCTCTGTTGTTTTTTGTCCTGAGTCAGTTCTTGCAGTTGAGCTACCAGAAGAGAGGATCTCTCTGTGGGTCTTTCCTGCAAAGTTGATAAGAAACCTGAGGGAATCACAGAACATTCCGAGCTGGAAGGGACCCACAAGGCTCCTGTCCCAGGTGCCCTGGCGTGGTCAGACAAGAATTTACAGAGATCCAGAAAGGACCCATTGCTTCTGTCACAATGTGCTTTTATATTCTCTCTCTGACACCTTACAAACAGGCAGTGGAAGGAGATTTTTGGAACAGAGATTTACTTATCTTGCTCTTTTCCAGACAGTAATTTCTCTGTTGAGTCAGTGACTGCTCAGGTTGCAGGGGCAGTTTCTCTGCACACCACAAAGTTACCTGGCCATCAGGGCTGCTTCTCTTGAATTTGTAGGGAGGCAGTTTGGTGTTTCATTATCTGTTACATTTGTCAGAAGAACTGTTCTTCAGTGCAGTTCCTCAAAATAGGACTTTTATGGGATTATTAACCTAATCCTGAATAAGCCAATGAAAGCCTCTTTTGAGGCATGTGGTTACTACAGCCCCCAATACATCACTTGAACAATAATTTATTGAGATGCAGATGCAGCTACAATGCTGGATTTCTTTCAGATTTCAGGCACAGGATGTTTTGAGACCTGTAAGACATCTGTATTCCTGTTTTTATGTGATTTTCATTATTACAGTGCAAACATCTTTCAGATAAAGTGAAAATTCTGAAGTATTTCCATGCCTACTTTAGCTGTGCTGCAGATAACAACACATGCATAAAGCAGTACCAAGCAGTATTTATGTTTCACTTCTTACACTTTTTAGGTAGGTTTCACCTTTATCTGTGTTCATTGTATTTTAACTTCACAATAATGCTCATCAATTTGTGTTTGCATGTCAGTAATTTTGAATAAATTGCTGGTACTTAAGGTGAGTTTCTGAGCTTCAGCATTCTAATTCCAAGGATTGCCAAATAATCTTGATTTCTCTCTAAGAGTAAACACTCTATTCCTGTTACTTCTGCAGCTGCATTTGTATCTTCATCATGGCCAAGTCCTTTTGCTCCAAACATGGACATTTATTACAGCAAATACTACAGCAAAGACTCATGATCTGAGCAGTCTTTGGTGTATGAACAGCTTCAGTTCAGGGCTAATTTAAGCCACTTGACAACTGGTTTCTTTTCCTGAAGACTTTGGCCCCAAAGACAAGCACTGTTACAAGTTGGAAATTCTCTTTCACATTTTCCTCTCTCTTCTGAGCAGTTTGTTACAGCCCTTATGTGCTCCATCTGTTCTTTTTATCCTCTCCTGGTGTCACCAGACTTTTTCTCAATCTGACATATACTTGATTTACAAGACAAAGTTCTGTCACTGTTACTGGTCCATATTTTCATATGCTTTACTTTTAATTTGTCAATACCTTGTATTTGGAACTCCTGAAGTACCTTAGTTTTCTTAGTTCTACCAATCAAATGTAGTGGTACCTGGAAATTTTTCAATCCAGTAATGGCAAGCCCGATGACCAAAATTTTCCTCCAGTGGAAACTGCTTGTACTCACTCTAAACTTGCAGTACTGTGACTTGAAAAGCCTTTACAGATGGAATGTCATGGAACAGCCCCAGCAGGGAGCTGTGGCACTGCTGGAACAGCCACTGGCTCCTCAGGAGGTTACAGGGCAGGGTAACTGAAAAGCAAAGCAGGGCCCATTCCTTCTGTCTCCACCCTGAAGGACTCCAAGCTCTCAGAATGTGCTGCTATCCAGGGCATTTCACTAATGAAGAGAGGCAGTTTTGATTCATGATGAGACTCCACAATCTCCTTTCACAACAGCTGGATTTACTAATCTCTGGGAGGGCTTCTGGAGAGCAGAAATGCATCTGTTGTACTGTTGTACTTCCCAGAGCTTCCCCACAGCTGTGCTGCTGCCATGGCTCCACCTGGGAGGTGCCAGGAACACCTGAACAAGTGTTTTAAGCAAGCAGGGACACTGGTGAGCATCTTAATTGGCCCAGTTACACCTCCTGCGCCCAGGCCTGCCATGTGATTACAGTTTTAGAGAAGGAATGCCTGTGTTTGCTTAGGGGCTCAGCAGCACCACATCCAAATTGCTTCTGAACTCTTGGATGAGCATTAAAATGGGATGATTAATGGCTTTTTAGATAATCAGGTGGGTTTTCCTAGACTTTCTCCTGTAGCATTTCAATTTTCAAACCTTTCAGTCCTTCTTATCTAAAGCAAGCAGGTTTGGAATAGGTTTTTGCATAGCATCCTCTGTAGTAAAGACTGATGCACAGCAATCTGTCATTAGCATTGTCATTATCTTCCTTAATTGCTCCCTTCTGCCCTGAAATATTCACTGCCTTAAACAATAAACCCTTAAATAAATCATTGTTCCCTTAGCTTTTTGGACAGGAGGGTTAAGCTTTTCAGAATCAGTTTCCATCCTTTTTTCTCTCCTCTGGATTTGATTTATGTATTCTTTGTCTATAGTAAATTTTTAAATGCTTTCTCCTGATGGCCTATGTTTTGTTGTCATTCAGTCACAGTTTTATTTTTGCCTTCAGTGGTTCTCTTTTAATTCAAACTTCTGAAATACCATTAATAGCATCTGCAGCACATCTAGTAGTCTTTACTTCTGATACAGATTTCCTACCTTTTAAAATTTAGTTTTATATTTCCTTTCCAAACTTAAGGTTAATTCCTGGGGCCTTTCCTTGTCTTGTCATTATTGATAATGGGAAGTTCTAGTCCTGTTGGTCATCTGGCAGGAGCTGCAGATGTCCAACTCTGAAACTGTGTGTTCATCCTGCAGTGACAGCCCCCTCTCCTTCCTAGGAAGGATAGACAGATGTGTCTTGGAATTTGTCCATGAGCTGGACAAGATTATTTGCCAGCTAAGAGGAAATTATACATTTCAGCATCCAAAACTTGTTTGGTTCATTCTGTCTTCAGGTTGTTCTGTTTTGTTTCCATTTTAGTTCTGGCCAGGAATAATGGATGAACTATCAGAGCTGAGAGAATTCTATGACCCAGACACTGTGGAGCTGATGAACTGGATTAAGTAAGAGGATTTTTTCTCTATTTCAGTTAAATGCTATTTGTGTAGATCTAATGTTCTTAGTTATAGTGTTCTCCTTATTTGTCCCAGCTCAGCAGTGAACTCTGGTGCCCCCAGAGGACAGTCAGGGTGAGTGGGTTATCAGGAGGTGAGCAGCTGTGGAGAGCAGCTCCATGCTCGGGCTCAGTGTCACTGCTGGGTTCCGTGTGCAGCAGGGCACCAGCTGATCCTTTGCTCCCACAAGGACACAGTTCTCCCAGCCAAAAGAGGTGAATCTGGAGGTGTCAAGCTTCTCTCATCATTTTATAGCTACTTTACATGAGCAGACCTCTGCAGTGCAATCATTTTATTCTCCAGCCCCCACCCAACCTGTCCTTCCCAACTCTGTAAATGTTAAAAAGCTTGGAAAATTCGTACTCTGCACTCTGTTTGTTGGACTTGAAAACAATCTAAGTTGTTTCTGCTTGTTACAGTTAATCCCAACATGTGTTCCAAAATCTTTTTAATTGAACTTGAACTTGTTACAGCTAAGATAGGTGCAGTCTGTCAGGAGTGTGAGTTAATCATTCCAGCCCCACCTCATCACTTCTGCTTTCTCACAGAGCATAGGAAGGTGTTTTTTAGGTGGAAGCAGTTTGGAATACTTCATGTAAGAGATGCTGAGATAAAAGGCCAGGTAGGATGTTCTCTGGAGGGCTGTGAACTGAAGGAATATGTTCTCTATTAACATAGAGCAGCCACTAAAAACTTTCAGGTTAAGTTTCTGAACAGGGAGATTTCTGGGACTTGTATTTATTTGCAACTTCAGCAATGATTTTTAAAAAAGAAAATTGGTTTCATGTTATAGAGGAAAACATTCTGAAAGTAAATCTGAATATACAACATTAAATATTGAACTGTTTGAAGTATTTCCTTGGAGTATTTCCTTCATATGCAATGAACTTCAGTGAAACCAGTCACCCAGCCTGTTCTCCCCATAGCAACATATTTACCCTCCATTATGTTGTATTTCTTTAATCCATAAACTAGAAGGAGTAATTTAGAAGCAAAATATATTACAAGCCTTCACTGACTTATTTTGAAAGCAGGCCATGATTTTTTCCATCATTTAGAATCTTTGCAGCCTTATTGACATGTTTTTGTGACTAATGTTTACCAGCCAGTTCCATTTAGCACTACTGTTTTATTAAAAGATGGTAAATGTCTGATAGTTCAGGTCTCCTGTGTGCAATATATAGAGTTATATATAGATTTATACATAAAATATGCATGTGGAGTTATTCCCAGCCATGAACTGGATTTGACTGGCTCCAATGAGAATAATTTTTCATGTGTTCTTAATGCTGAGAATGCTAAACTGGTCCTTGTCATCTCTTCATTCCAAGTCATGACAGACAATTACAGAGGGGCATTTTTTTACTTAGAATTTATTGTATTTAGAAATATTATTCCTGTGAAGAAGAGTTAATTATCTATGCTTTAAATACCAGTCAACAAAATTTATGGTAAGTTTCTCAAAGTGGGACAGATTTTGTTAAGTTTGATGGGTAAGAGAACACTTTTACTTTACTAACACTTGATGGTTGTGCTGTAGTTAATGACCTGTCAAGGCTGGTGTCAGGAACTAATCTTTCATTATTAAAACTCAGTATGAAAAGCTCTAATTTGTCATGTATATAGCAGTGAATTAGGAATAACTCATCTGTCTTGCAATCTCTCCACAACAAGAAAACCCTTCTGTCCTCTAAATGCATATTAGCTTGTCCAAATATACAATCTGAATAATGGCCAGCTATTAGTCTGTTCCCTGTGAAGTGTCTGCAGATACATTTCTTACTCTTCCCCTCACTAAAATTGCCACAGCATTTTCAGGAAGATCTACTGCTTTGTATCTGTACAATTGCAGAGCACAAGTTTTTCCATAATGATCTTGCATATCCCAGTCTTCTGCTTTTTTTCCTACCCACCATCTCATTTTCTCCACTTTTTTTCAACAAAAAAGTCAAGAATCCAAAGCTCCAGGGGTAGTTCACAGTTCTGTTCCCAGCTGGGAGGTACATTAAGATTCTTAGTTTTGGTCTTTCTCCCTAAGACAACAGGAACAACATGCTCATTTGTGAGATGGGGAAGAATATCAGTAGAATGAGCAAATCATAGCGTGAACTTCCCTCTCTGTTTACTCCTGGTAAGTGCTGAAGAAGCAATGACTTCTGCCTTTAAAGGGGAAATCTGTCTACAGTTGTGCAGTATATCAGTAGCAGTTGCCAAAACTCACAGTAAAGTTCTTAAAAATCTTGGGCAACAGCCAAAACAATGGAGAAGTTAACTGAGACTGAGATTGAGCAGAGCATGGTTGGATGTCAGCTGTACCTGAACCAGGTGTGGGGACAAGCAGGCAGATTTTTATATTAGTGGAAAACACACAAATTTCCAAAAACTTCCTCAGGTTATGCAAATAAAACACCCATGTTTCAATGGCAGTTCTTTCTTAGTAATTTATACTAATTTATATTAATGGCTATATTTTAATTTCAAGCCAGCTCTAAAGTTTAACTCTATTACTTACATTCCTGATTTTTAAGGGTAATCACACTGAAATCAACTCATGTTCCAGACTTTAAAGGCAATATTATACTTTTATTTTTTAATTATTGTTCTTAAATTCTTGGGCTTTTGTTGGACAGACATGTGAGTAAATTTCAGACATGAACCTGAGAGTGCTGAGAAGTAGGTTTATAGCAGCTGTGTAGGTGCACTCCTTTATGTGAGCATAATCTGCATGCATAAAATTGAAGCTGGGATTCACATCTTGTTGCTCTTTCTTTGTGACTGTCGTTTTCCAGTTGTTCAATTTTCAGTCTTTCCAAACCAGAGGGAAAAAAAAGAACCATGACAGTATGCCTGAATATGCTTTACTGTCTATCATCTGCAGCTAAATCTGTGATGTTTTAATATTGCATTCTACAAATAAAAAGATTTTCTTTTAAAGAAAAAGAAAAATCTATCATGGCATAGTCTTTAGAATCTCCTTTTCTCAAATCCTTTCACTTTGTTGATTCATACCATACTCAGGCACTAGTAAAGGAATAATCTGTGACTTGTTAGATTTTATGGCTTTGAAAGTCAACTGCAGGGTTCAAGTCTGGAGGATTTCTACTAGAAATAGCCATTTTATTTCTGGTGATGTAACCTGTAATTGCAATGTTGGCCATTTCTTCCTTAGTGCTTCCTAAAACCAGCTCACAATAATTCTTCAGTATTTTAAGAGAAATAATTACTATCACTTTCAGAGCCTGTGCAAGTACTTCCTGTAAAACCCTTTTATTTTTAATGAGTTATTCTTTCGTATTTATATAATTCTCTAAATTCTGAAGTGTAAGGTAAAGAAAAGGTTCCTACACTATAATATAGTGCTTAGTTTACCCATTAGCTCAGCTGTAATTAACTTGTTGAAAGCTTAGAGCTTCAAAAATAAATGAGATTATTTGTTCAAAATGCCATCAGGTCTGCTTGGAATGGCATTTAAATTATATAATGTAAATCAGTTTGACCTGTAAGTCCTTGTCATTATTTAGTGACATTTCCTAGAGAATAAATTGTTTGCAGGTTGGGCAGTGTGGTATGGAGCTTGGCAGAGAGCTATAAAAACAAATTATCCTTTCATTTTATACATAATTTGCTGAGACAGTTGTAAAAATGGTTTGGTTTTAGAGTAATAGAGAAGTGTCATTCAGGGTTTGCAGCACAGGAGGTGCCCTGGCTGCAGAGCCCTGCAGGAGGCAGGAGCATCCCTGGCTTGCAGGAGCCCTGCTGGCCCTGGGAATGCTCCTCAGGCTCCTGTGTCCCCAGAACTCAGCAGGGGCACCCACAAGAGCTCCTGGGCAGGGAATTGGTCAGGGCAGACACTGCCTGGGGCTCTGGGTCACCTCCCAGGGTCACCTCCCAGCTCTCTGCCCTGGGCACTGAAATCCAGCGCTGGTGCTCCGGGCAGTGCCACTGCAGCACAGGGAAAGAGGGGCTCCAGGAGCTGCTCTGGAACACCTGAGCTGGCCAGTGAAACAGGGACAGTGATGTGGCTGAAGGAGAATCATTTCCTGGGACTTCAGACCTGTAAATCTCAGGGAAACATCTGCCTTTACCTGGAACACCAGATTTTAAACTCCACCCCAGACCAAAGCACTTAAGGCAGTTGTTTGAAAAGCAAGCAAGGGTCACTTGACTGTCTTCAAGGGATAGGGAGAGCAGGAAGTGCTGGCAAAATTTTCTGTCTAGTAAAGAATGCAACTCAGCTGTATTTCACCCCTTCTGGGCAGGAGTGAATGCTCTTAGAAAGGGGAGGAGGAATGGAGCCCTGAATCCTCTGCATGATCCATTTTCTGAGGGGAGATTCACTGGGGGCTGCAGCTCCAATCTCTGCAGGGTTGGGTTGGAGATCAGGGCAAGGTTCTGCTTCCCCCAGAGGTGCTGGCACTGCCAGGGAATGGGCACAGCCCCGAGGCTGCCAGAGCTCCAGGAGGGTTTGGACACCAGGGATGGACAGGGGGGATTGCTGGGGGTCTGCAGGAACAGGGGCTGGACTGGATGAGCCCTGGGGGTCCCCTCCAACTCACTGTGTTCTGTGATTCTACATTTTTGACAAGCATTTTTACCAGTAGGTTATTAATAAAGGGCACTATCACCCTTTGGCTTTTGTTTTAAAGAAAAGAGCCTTCAGGGTGGTTTGGCTTTTTTGTTTGTTTGATTTTTATCCTGTGGTTTTGCCTCTGGTCCCTGTTGGGAGGGGCTGTGTGAGTGGGTTTAAGAAAGTTTTAATCTGCTACAGAGCCCATTATAATGCAAATCTGCAATCAGAAGAGCTGGGTTGCCTTGGTAAGGCCAGTCTGGTTTTAAAATTTGAACTAATCTTGAACAAGCACAGAAACCTACTTGTCACATTAGAAGTTGCCTGGCCCAGACATAAACAGAGGAACATGTTGAAGCTGCTTTAAGCATCATCATTTTTATTTGGGTGTCTGAGCTCTCCCAGTCCCTCTGTGAGTCCAGCCCGTGTCCTTTGAAGCTTAGTCCTGCACACTTGTGCTTTCCCACAGCTCCAGGGAAATCCTGCCTGACAGCCTGTCAGGGCCATCCCATTTGCATAGTACTAAATTCTAACAGGAATTAATTTATTTTAATGGAACACATACTTCAGGACACTTGTGGCTTTGAATATTTTAAGTAATAAATAATTTCTTAAGAGATTAAATATTTTCAGGCTTTAAAATGAAATTGGTTTTATAAAGTGCTGAAGGACTGGTCTATCAGGAAAGTTAAATTGACCTATTAAAATAGTATCTCTGGCCTTCCTAGATGAGATTAATGTACCAGTGCAAGATTTTTTGGAAGGGTTTGTAATTATTAATTCATTTGCTAAGCATAATCTCTTGAAAGGCGATAATAAAATTTAATCCTTGTCTCAACATTTTCAAGCTGATCATGGAGCTTAAAAATGACTGAGTGTGTAGTGCAGTTTCCAAGGCTCCCTGAAGTGCACCCCAAAGTGTCACAGTTACTGCAGTACTTCAGTGTGTGCATGGGGATGTTAGGCACCTATTCACATTCTAATTCCATTTTAGTTGATTAAATGTGTGTTGCTTTCTGTTGGTTTAGTCTTCCCAGACCCTTGCATGGTTATGTGCCTGCCAAGCACTAGAAGACACTTCAGCATACTCTGGCCAGTTCCAATTAGCCTGATTACAGGAGTGTCCATGGCCTGGCATTTTTACTCTTTCTTTTTGCTCTGCCCTTCTGTTGTGTCTTTGCATATATTTTAGATTGGAAACTTGATGGGAAGAAGGTGAGCAAAAATAATTATTTTCATTATTGGTACTTGAGATACCAGGGCTACTATTTGGAATTTCAAAGGTTACAGTAACAGAAAGTGACGGCACTGTTCTGGCATCTTCTGCTTCCCCCTGCCCCAGCTGTTTTGCAACTGGGATGTCAGAATAGGAAGAGTAATGTCTCATGGAACAAAGTTTTTGTTCCAAGTAAATGGTGAATGCCAGGACAAGAACAGAAAGTTTTATCATTCAGATTAAATAATTCATTTTATGTAAACTACCTTATATATATCAGACTGAAACTTAAGTCAAAATAAGTTTCTTGAAATATTAAAAGAATTAGAAAATAGAAACCTATAAATATTCAGAGGCTTTATGAACCTAAGATAGATATGAAATACAAAAATAGTTTGAAACTGTTAGGATCATGTTTTCCTTAGATTTCCTCATAGTGCTTAGTAAATTTTTTATTTGCAGTTGAGTATTATCATAATTTATCCACTTGGCATTTGAAGAAAACAGTTGCTTGAACAGTTTGCTCCCTGAATGGAGGAGAAGCAGAAAAATACTTTTGCAGTCTTTTTTTTCCTTCTGATCTGTCCCAAGCATTGCAAAAATGCCCCTGCAGAGACTTCCTCAGACTTATCAACATTTGTTTAGGTCAAACACTCCCAACACAGCAGTGTTTGCTGGGAGCATGCAGCTGTTGGCAGGAGTCAAACTGTGCACTGGACGGACCTTAACCAACCATCCTCACTATGAGGATAAGAATCTGAGAGAGAGAACAAAGCAGGTAAGAGATTTCTGATTTTTTACAGTAATCCGTGCCCATGTCACTGACTGCACTCCAGAAAACAGCAATGTCCTCGTCGCACGCTGCAAAAGGCATCGTGTGCTTTACTCATGGATAACTCACAGTCAGGCACAGGCCCAGGATTTAACTGCTTTGGGATCTCCTGACTCACTTCTGGCAGCTGCTGAGTGTCTGAGCAGCTCTGTGCCCAGCTAGCCCCAAGGGCACTGCTTTGGCTACTGTGGCATCAGTAGATCCTGGTGCCCACTTGGGCTGTTAAACCCACATGGAGCATTCCCTGATACTCCCTTCAGTTGCCAGAGCAGCACAAGCATTGATATAGAAACCACCCTGCTGGGAGACTGTTTCCACCTACCCTCCTCTGCACTTGAGACGTTCTCAAAGCCTGACAGCACCATCCTGTGATGTGTAGCCAGCAGCATCCTTGCCATAACACACATCTCCACATGGAGATTTTACTGGATAAAACATTTGTAGGTTGTTTCTATAATATTTAATTCACATGGTTTCTTGTCGCAGACATCTTTTCATGGAAATCCTTTCTTAAGGATTTTTTCCTCCTGAGAAGCTGAGAAGCCTCAGGAACAAATGTAAACAATGATTATCTGCTGCTGTGGGATGCAACAGGTGCATTTGTGATTGGTCTCATGGGGTTGTTTCTAATTAATGGCCAATCACAGTCAGCTGGCTCGGAGAGAGAGTCTGAGACAGCTGCCTTGTTATCATTCTTTCTCTTTCCATTCTTAGCTTAGCTAGCCTTCTGAGATAAAACCTTTTCTCTATTCTTTTAGTATAGTTTTAATGTAATATATATCATAAAATCATAAATCAAGCCTTCTGAAATATGGAGTCAAATCCTCATCTGTTCCCTCATCCTAAGACCCCTCTGACCACTGTAAGTTTGTCAGTCCCAGTTCTTTGCTTGGCTCAAGACAGAGCTCAGAGGAAACAGAGCAGCAGTGAGGGGTGCTGTGCTGTGTGTGCTGTG